GCTGATCATTTTTCAGTACAATTTCTTGACTTTCATATGTTGATATTTAGATCATCTGCAGTATTGACAGTTTGTCCTTGCTTTCTAACCCCAATGTATTTTTATGTCTTTTACTTACTTATTTTTTGATCTCTAAAACAATGCTGAGTAGAAACGGTGATGAGAGTGGGCATTCTAATCATGCCTGATATGAAAGGTCATCCACCATCATGGTTAGGAGAGGCCCAGTGGAGCATACAGCTTGGTTCAATCCTGGTTCTCACTGTGTGACTTTGGGCAAGCCACTTACCCTATTTATCATCTTTCTCTCTTTAAGAGGGGAATAATAATAGTACCCATCTCATAGAGTTATTGTGAGAACCAGATGATTATATATATGATTTATATGCACTACGTGTGTGTGTGTGTGTGTGTGTACATATATAGTAGAGCTTTATCTGGCAAATATTGGCTACTGTTGTTATTATTATTATTATTAAGTAAGCTCTACACCCAACATGGGGCTTGAACCCATGACCCTGAGACCCAGAGTCACATGATCTACTGACTGAGACAGCTAGGTGCCTTGTTATTGTTATTATTATTGCTACTGTTATTAGGATTCTGGTAACTAGCCTATATCAGATAATCAGGTTAAAAAAGTTCCCTTTTAGGTACGTGCACCCCAATGTTTACAGCAGCAATGTCCACAATAGCCAAACTGTGGAAAGAGCCAAGATGTCCATCGACCAATGAATGGATAAAGAAGATGTGGTATATATACACAATGGAATATTATGCAGCCATCAAAAGGAATGAGATCTTGCCATTTGCAAGACGTGGATGGAACTGGAGGGTGTTATGCTGAGCGAAATAAGTCAGTCAGAGAAAGACATGTGTCATATGACCTCACTGATATGAGGAATTCTTAATCTCAGGAAACAAACTGAGGGTTGCTGGAGTGGGGGTGGGGTGGGAGGGATGGGGTGGCTGGGTGATAGACATTGGGGAGGGTATGTGCTATGGTGAGCGCTGTGAATTGTGCAAGACTGTTGAATCACAGATCTGTACTTCTGAAACAAATAATGCAATATATGTTAAGAAAAAAAAAAAAGAAGAAGATGATAGCAGGAGGGGAAGAATGAAGGGGAGTAAGTCGGAGGGGGAGATGAACCATGAGAGACGATGGACTCTGAAAAACAAACTGAGGGTTCTAGAGGGGAGGGGGGTTGGGGGATGGGTTAGCCTGGTGATGGGTATTAAAGAGGGCACATTCTGCGTGGAGCACTGGGTGTTATGCACAAACAACATGGAACACTACATCAAAAACTAATGATGTAATGTATGGTGATTAACATAACAATAAAAAAGATGAAAAAGTTCCCTTTTATTATCAATTTTCTAAGGGTTTTTATTCATAAATAGGTGTTAGAATTTTATGAAATAATATTCCTATATTTTTGAGATGATCATTTTTCCCCCCTATTTGTTAATATGGCACACCTTATTAAATAGTCTTCCAAAGTTATTCCATCCTTGGATTATCTCAGGATTAACTGTAGTGGTCACAATTTATCTATGTTTTTGATATTTTGATAGATTCAATTTCCTAACATATTTAGAATGTGTGCCATGTACATTCCTTTTTTTTTTTTTTAAAGATTTTATCTATTTGACAGAGAGAGACACAGCGAGAGAGGGAACACAAGCAGGGGGAGTGGGAGAGGGAGAAGCAGGCTTACCGCCAAGCAGAGAGCCCGATGTGGGGCTCGATCCAGGACCCTGGGACCATGATCCGAGCCGAAGGCAGACGCTTAACGACTGAGCCACCCAGGCGCCCCAGCCATGTCCATTCCTAAGTGATTTTTCACATGCACCTTTGCTTTTGCCTGCCATCATTGCTAGTTTGAGCAGCCTCATAATTGAATTTGGAAGTTTCCTTCTGTTTCTATTTTTTGGAACAAATTGCGTAAAATATGGCTTGTCTGTTCTCTAAGAGTTTATAAAGTTCACCTGTAAAGCAGTGTAAATCTGAAGCTTTACCTGAGGTTTTCCTTTTTAATCTGATCGGTGGATTCAATTTATTTACTGGTTATAATCTCTCAGGTTTTCTTTTTCTTCTTGAGTCAGAACTGATAAGTTCTATATATTTCTGAAGGATTGTCCAATAGGTCTAATTTTAAGTTAGTTGGCATAACAAATTTTTTTTAAAGATTTTATTTATTTGAGAGAGAGGTGAGGGGCAGAGATGGGCGCCTGGGTGGCTCAGATGGTTAAGCGTCTGCCTTCGGCTCAGGTCATGATCCCAGGGTCCTAGGATCGAGTCCCGCGTCGGGCTCCCTGCTCCTTGGGAGCCTGCTTCTCCCTCTGCCTCCCTCTCTCTCTCTCTGTCTCTCATGAATAAATAAAAAAAATCTTAAAAAAAAAAAAAAGAAAAAGGTGAGGGGCAGAGGGAGAAGCAGACTCACCGCCGAGCAGGGCATGACCTGAGGCGAAGGCAGACGCTTAACCAACTGAGCCACCCAGGTGCCCCAGTGTAACAATTTTTGTAAGTCCCTGTTGTAGTTAGTTATATTCTTTTTTTTTTATTCCTTATAGCACTGAGTTATGCTTTTGTCCTTTTTTTCTTATTTGTTCTTGGAAGTTTATCTATCTTATTAATCTTTTTAAAAATCAACCCTTCTGTTTCCCTGATCACCTCCATTGTTTCTTTTCTATTTTATTAATATTTACTCTTATCTTTATATTTTCTTCTAACTGAGGGAGGTAACCATTTTTTTTTATTTGGGTGCATAACTTACTAATATTAGATCTTTGTCTTTCTACAACAATGTCCATTGAATAACTTTTTTTTAATAACTCTGTTTAAAAGTGTTACTCAAATATTCTATAATTTCACTTCTGTGTGATGTAATGAGTATTGATAGAAGGGTTATAAAATCTCCCACTGCAGTGGAGGGTTATCATTTTTTCTTCATAATTCTGTCAGTGTTTGCTCTGTGTATTTTGTTTGGGATATAGTAGTTTATTTATTTATTTTTATTTATTTATTTTTTTAAGATTTTATTTGTTTATTTGACAGAGAGAGAGACACTGAGAGAGGGAACACAAGCAGGGGGAGTGAGAGAGGGAGAAGCAGGCTTCCCGCGGAGCAGGGAGCCCGATGCGGGGCTCGATCCCAGGACCCTGGGACCATGACCTGAGCCGAAGGCAGATGCTTAACCAACTGAGCCACTCAGACGTCCCTCCACGAAACCTATCCTTTAGAGTTAAACTTTTGACAAGGGTATTTTTTCCCTCTGGAAAGCCCTTGGACTTTAGAAGTGCTTTGAATTGGAAGCTCTTGGAATTCAGAAGCCACTAAAACCCTTAATGCCTTTGGAATGCTGGACTAACCCATTTTGGAGAGCAATCTTATATACCTGGCTCTTCTACGTTGCACAATTAGAGTTTGACATAAAGATGGCTCTCACCTTACATCCATCGTGAAATCAGAGACCCATCAACCAGTAGAATCTCGGTTCTACTGACTTCTGCATGGAGCCCAGGGTTCCTGACAGTTCCATCCTACTTGCTCCAGAAGGAATGCTCAGGCTGAGGAAGGAAGGTGGTCCCCAAATCTTGGGTATTTAGTCCCTGTAGAATAGAGAACTCTCTCTTGTCTAAGAACAGGCCTCTAGAAAGTCTAGTTATAGCGGTGCTTTCAGAATCAGAAGGGAAAAAAAATGAGCTTCAAGAAACCAAGAAAGTGCCCAGCTTTGGAATCACTGGAATCCACATGCTTACTCCATCATTACCCTGCCTTCCTCTCTTGTATGAGGAGGTAGCAGGCTTCCCTTCCTTCCTTCGACCCTCCCTCCCTCCCTCCCTCCCTTCCTTCTTTCCCTCCTTCCTTCCTTCCTTCCTAGATTTAAAAAAATTACACTGGTAATATAGGTATATTGTAGAAAAAAGAGAAAATACAGATGAACAAAAGGAAGAAAATGAAAGTCACTGCCCAGATTTAACCACTGTTAAAATTTGAATATGTATCCTTCCACACATGTTTTCCTACTTATTATCCATTTCTTGTTTGTTTGTTTTTTTTAGGTAACTGGGTTAAAAAAAGAAATAAGCTACTACTTTCTTGCATTGAACATGTTTAGATCATTATAATTGGTTGATTCTTTTTGAACTATTTTCTAATTTGGAAATAACTGAAAAATTGTACAAAATATTAGGCAAAAAGTTAACATGATTCTCATGAAATATCCACTTGTTTTCCTCTTTGCCTCTTTCTATTTTTTTTCCCCATTATGTAAAGATAGGGATGAAAGAAGATAAAGAGGGGCGCCTGGGTGGCTCAGTTGGTTAAGCAACTGCCTTCGGCTCAGGTCATGATCCCGGGGTCCTGGGAGTGAGTCCCACATTGGGCTCCCTGCTCAGCAGGGGGCCTGCTTCTCCCTCTGCCTCTGCCTGCCCTCGCCCTGCTTGTGCTCTATCAAATAAATAAATAAAATCTTTAAAAGAGAAAGAAAGAAGGTAAAGAGGAAAGAAGAAAGTTTGGTGGAGAAACAACATATAACAATGAGAACAAAAATCAACTAAAATTAAGAGATATTAATATGTTTCAGACTAATCTGGGGAGAGGAAGGATGGTAGAAAACCCACATGGACTAGCATCTTTGCCCATTCAGGGGTGACGGTGAGGATGGAGCTAAGAACTAGTCAAGTCAGTTGTCTGGACTGGGATTTGGTGCTGATGAGATCAAGGGGATGTAGTTCATCACTGCGTTAAACAGTGAGTGTCCCTCAAAGGTGCTGATCTCATGGCAGGGACAGCACTTGGAAACAAATGTCTCACAAATGTATGTCACTGGTCCCAAAGGCAGCTTGGTGAAGGTGGGAATAACTCAGCAGAAGCCAACATTACTCCCTGGGGAAGAATGCCCTATAGCACGTCTTACTGATAAAGATCATGGTTTTTACCTGACTGCACATGATAATAACCTTGTTGGTTTGTTGGTTTCTTTGAATTACAGTTCAAATTGCCTTAATATTTGGTGCAAGAATATTAGACTATGTCTTCAATTTATGTGAAGGTAAATTTGACTTCCTTGAACAGCTCTCAGACAATTTGCTCCTGAATATCATTTCTTATCTGGATCTTGAAGATATTGCCAGGCTTTCTCAAACATCACGCAGATTTGCACAGGTAACATAATTATTTTATGTCTATGCAGGTTTTTTCTTGTGCTTCCTCAAAGTCTTTTCTTTCTTGCTTGCTTTCTTTCACATGGTGGTTTATTGTTTGCATTCATTTCAGCAAGCATTTGTTGAATACTTACTTGATCATGAGCCCTGTTTTAGGCACAGAGGTAGCAGACATGAAAAGACATTATTCCTGCCCTCAAGAAACTTACAGTCTAATAGGAGAGACCCTAACAGATACAGATTATTACAATATAATGTGAGGAGTTCAACAAGGGATGTGTGTATGAGGTACAAAGACAGTACAAAGTGATTTCCTCTGCCAGGCTTCACAGAAGGGATTACTTTATCTGGGGTTTCAAGGGAAAATAAGAGCTCACCAGGGGGTCTGGAAGACTAGGGGCATTTCAGGTCAAGGGGCATTCTAAGTCCAGGCAACAATTCGGGCAGAGGCATGGCCACATGAAAGAAGACAGTGAGTAGTGAGTCTTCTATCCATCCCCCTTTCTTCCATTAACAGCCCTTTGTAGAATTATCTATTCACAACGTGGGTGGTTTTGGGGAATTGTTCATCATAGTGCCCTGTCCTCCATGCCCCAGACTGACAGAATGGACTGTCTCTCACTACTTTGAATCCTCAGCAGAATGATGCCATCGGAAGACACACTTGGTGCTAATTTCGCCCAATGTCAGGGTCTTGCGGCAACCATTATTGGTTCCTCTCCTTGCATCCTGGAAGGTGCCTTGGTTCCTGCCCTTTTAGTTATTCCTAAACACACTTCCATTAAATCCTTTTTTGGCTTAAGTTAATCAGAGTTGGAGTTTGTTTGAAACAGAAGAAACCTAACCCGGTATTTAGTTGTAATATACTGGGGCAATGTCCATTTATAAAAAAGCATGCAATAGGGACGCCTGGGTGGCTCAGTCGGTTAAGCGTCTGCCTTCAGCTCAGGTCAGGTCCTGGGATCGAGTCCCACATCAGGCTCCCTGCTCCCCGGGAGTCTGCTTCTCCCTCTACTTGTGTTCTCTCTCTGTCAAATAATAAATAATATCTTTAAAAAAAAAAAGAACATGCAATATTTCCCAAGATGATTTTAATCATAATCTTTTTTTTTTCTTTAAAGACAGTATTCATGAGGCGCCTGGGTGGCACAGTCAGTTAAGCATCTGACTCTTGGTTTTAGCACAGGTCGTGATCTGAGGGTCATGAGATTGAGCCCTGCACTGGGCTCTGCCCTCAGTGTAAAGTCGGCTTGAGTTTCTCTCTCTCCCTCTCCCTCTGCTGCTCTGCCCCCCCCCACACGTGAGATCTATCTCTCTCTAAAAATAAATAAATAAATCTTTAAATAAAAGAAGACAGTATTCACCCATTTCTTTTTATTTATATTTATTTATTTATTTATTTATTTATTTTTAAGTAGGCTCCACACCCATTGTGGGGCTTGAACTCAGGACCCCTGAGATCAAGAGTTGCATGCTCTGCCGACTGAGCCAGCCAGGCGCCCCGGTTCATAGTCTTATTATCTGAAAAGTCACCATTTTTTTTCACAATAATGCCATCATATTTCTTGATACATATTAATTTTAAATAATCTATATTATTTCATATCTTTGAGGATAAAACCATATGTTTTTACTTGGTTTTCCCCCTAAAAATGGAGAGCCAGAAGCAAGTATTATGAGTAATCGCTGTACATTTTTTTGCCATTAAAATATGTATTAAAGTTAAGATTTGCTGCTGCTGATAAGAAGCTGATTATTCATACTTTCAATGAAAGAGAATTTTAAATACATGAATATACTAGTGGGGATCTATTGAAAGCTTCTGCTAGGGCCTGCGCTTGTTCCCGAAATGAAATGGAAGGATTTGACAGAGAATGGCAGCAACTGCAGTGTCTTGTGCAATTTATTCCTTACACTGAGCAACTGTCTTCTCTCCAGGTGTTGCTTCCTTCCCATCCTGATGACTCCTCTTAGAGTCCTGCCATTATTTCAATGCTGTCTTGGAAATATCCTCTGTGCTTTACCTGCTGTTCTAAAGTAAGCCTTTTCTAGGTTGCTGCTTTCAGCTCTCAGTATCCTTGCAGAGCAGAATTTTTTGAAGATGGAGAATGGTCCAGGGCTGCTGCCTTTTTCTCTCTACGTAACAGCAACCACTCATTTCTGTCTTCAGTCTACATTTTATCCGCATACCATTTACTTAGTTTTCACCTGCATTTATACATTATTTTCTGCTTTGTCCTGCTATTTACTTCCTTATTAATGAAAACAAAAAGCTTCCATTTCAAATTTCTGCAGGCAAATTTACTAGCAAATTATTTGTGTCCATGTCTAATCCTTTCCTCTGACCTCAGGGAGGGAGGTGTTCTCCTCTGCAGGCCAGTGCCGCCTGCCACCTGGCTCCAAGGTCTGACCCAAGGGACTTTAGTCTGCCACTTATCTCCTTTCTCTTCTGTGTTGTTATTGTTTTTAAAAACCTTTTTTATTTTTTTTAAGTAGGCTCCACACCCCTTGTGGAGCCCAACTCGAGGCTTGAACTCACGACCCTGAGATGAAGACCTGAGCTTGAGATCAAGAGTCAGAGCCACCAAGCGGCCCTAAAAACCTTTTTGTTTATAAATAATTTTATCTTATTTTTTAAAAAAGATTTTATTTATTTATTTGAGAGAGAGAGAGAACAAGGGGATGGGGTAACGGCAGAGGCAGAGGGAGAAGCAGACTCCCCGCTGAGCCTGACGAGGGGCTCAATCCCAGGACCCTGAGATCATGAGCCGAAGGCAGATGCTCCACTGACCAGGCCATCCAGGTGCCCCTACAAATAATTTTAGACTTGTAAGTGTTGCAAAGATAATACAGTTTGCATATACCCTTCACGAGCTTTCCCTAACACCAACATCTTATATAACCGGGGACATTTATCAAAACTCAGCAGCTGATACTGATATAATACTATTAACTAAGCCACAGACTTTATTCATAGTTCATCAGTTTTTCCACTAATGTCCTTTTGCTGTTTCAGGATCCAGTCTGGGATACTATATTGCATTTAGTTCCTATTTTTAAATCTTTCTTTCATTTGTTTTTTCCTCTTGGAAATTTTCTCAAATCAGCCTCATCCTTAAGAACCCAAAAACTCTTGACTCTACTTGCAGCCAATCTCTTTCCTTTTCTCCCTGGGAAAACAAAACAAAACAAAACAAAACAAAAGTTTACAGGGCAGTTCACCCTCTAGCATTATCAATGGGAGCAAGATTTTATAATCCATGATGAAATGAGAACAGTAAGTAAATGATATATGAAGAGTTTGTTATCAAGCCAAATTTATTCCATTTAAATGATCATCTTTTTTTTTTTTTTTTTTTTTTTTTACTAGTAGGCTCCACGTCCAATGTGGGGCTTGAACTCACGACCCTGTGATCAAGGGTCTCATGCTCTACCGACTGAGCCAGCCTAAATGATCATCCTTTATTGGAGGTTAGGCCTTCCTATTTTGGAGATTTAAAATGTCCTTTTTTTTTTTTTTTAAAGATTTTATTTGGGCGCCTGGGTGGCTCAGATGGTTAAGTGTCTGCCTTCGGCTCAGGTCATGATCCCAGCGTCCTGGGATTGAGTCCCGCATCGGGCTCCCTGCTCAGCGGGAAGCCTGCTTCTCCCTCTGCCTCTCTCTCTCTCTCTCTCTGTCTCTCATGAATAAATAAATAAAATCTTTAAAAAAAAGATTTTATTTATTTATTAGAGATTGAGAGAGAGCACGAGAGCAGGGTGAGGGGCAGAGGGAGAAGCAGACTCCCCGATGAGCAGGGAGCCCGATGCGGGACTTAATCTGGACTCCGGGATCATGACCTGAGCCGAAGGCAGACGCTTAACTGACTGAGCCACCCAGGCGCCCCAAAATGTCTCTTCTTTTATGAAATAATGGCCTTAAAACATGATCATTTTAACCAATTATCCTTACTTGGAAAAATTAAAAAGTTAATAACCTTATTTTGGTTCTTAATTTTTGTTTTGTTGGATTTCTAAAAATTTCAATGGTCTTATGACATCCTAAATTCCCAAAGCCACTGGTCTACTCTCAGCCTACCTCATCTCCCTTTTCCCCCCTCTGTCCGTGCCTCAGAAATATAACTAAATATCCCTGGCCTCATTCACGGGAACCCCTTCACTGTCACATCTAAAGGGCCTGTTTCAGGCCTTTCACTTCCTGACCCATCTTTGTTTCCAGGATTTTCTGCTGGCTTTTCTCCTTGCCATCTCTCATGTGCTGGGTAGGCTCTCTTGGGCCTTTGGCATTTGCTTTTATTCTTACCTTCCCCAGGAATGTCCTGCTTCTGACCCACCTCTTTTTTTTTTTTTTTAAGATTTTATTTATTTATTTGGGGGAGAGAAAGAGAGAGTACACAGGGGGAGGAGCAGAAGGAGAGGGAGAAGCAGACTCCTTTTGAAGCAGGGAGCCCGACATCGGCTCGATTCCAGGACCCTGGGATCATGACCTGAGCCGAAGGCAGACGTTTAATTGACTGAGCCACCCAGGCGCCCTCGACCCACTTCTCTTAACTCCCACCATCTGCTCTTGCTCTGATTCCATGTTGACCCAACCACAGCGCCTCCATGGATGGGCACCTGAAAGCCTGGTTGCAGGGTGGTTGTATTTCTCAGGGTGAACAACAAAGAGGCATCCTCTGGGAGCTTGCTAATATGAGCACACCCCTGAAAGGTGAATCCCATGTCATGGTATACGAGAAAGGCCGCCTGAGAGCCAGCCCTGGGATTGCTGCAAACCCCTGCTGGGTAATGCTGGTAGGAGGGAACCTGCTTGGGGGCATGCTGGCTTGGCCCAGGTGGCACCAGGCCTTGATGCTATCCTTTTTCAGCAAACTACAGCCGAGTAGACCCAAAGAACCTCAGCAGCTAGATGAAAGGTTGAAGCCCAGACAGGGCAAGACTATGGTGACTGGTATATAAACATATTCATCTTGGTCATGACTCAGGAACAGCTACAAACTC